TGTGCGTTTGCAGTTACGATGGTGATGAAAAAATAACTTTGCAAACAATCCTGGCATTTAAAACCTTTGCATGTCTATAAAGCAAAGGAAGGCTGAAATAAGATCATAAGCATAGCCATGATTTCACTTAGCAACCACTTCACTTAATGACTGGTTTGCTAGTCCCAATTGTTAAATTAGGACTATCTATATATGAATAGGAAAGAAAAGACTTGGAGTAATGCAAACTTGATTAAAGGAAAGAAAGGCTAGGTTTGTCAATATAAGGTGCTGTTGCACATTGGTAAATTTCTCTAATAAGAGCTTATTCCAACAACCACCAAGCCTTCATCTGTGGCATTAACTCATTATTTCCAGAGATATGAACTCTACTGAGATGTCAACCTCAAGAGAGATAGTGTGAACAGTATCTCAGACGCGTGTGCGAAAGTGAATAATGTAGCTTCAGCCTGATTAAAAGCCAGTGCTACATCCAGCAAGCCTCAGATGGAGTCAGGCCTAATATTACTTGCTTTTCAGTGGAGGAAATATTGTTAATACAGATCTAATCGACAAACCAGAAAATCTGCAATTTCAAACTACTTTCCCAAGAATTACTATTGAAGCGGGAATTACAATTATGCCTATAAATTTAATCAAATGAATGTGCCAGTAAATAAATGCACTTATATAGCCACACATTTTAAAAATAACTTTAGCTGGCCAACAAAGACAGAGATGAAAGCACAGCATGTATTTTTAAGAGCTTTAAAAGAGTTTTAAAATGAATTAGACATCTCACAGCTACTTGACAACATCAAAGAAGACATCCATACCAAGCTCCACTAACATTCCAATCCCATTGCCTGAAGGAAAAGCCAGATCTTCATGGACCTCTGAGCCCTCTGAGATTTGGAGCCATCTAATTTCACATGGGAGGTTGTTCCATAAGATGGCCACCATGAATGAGAAGCACACCTCCTGGGTCCCATTAAATGACATTGTTTTACAGAAAGGACCTGCCAAATTGGATGAAAAGGCAGCAACCATTAGAGACAGATGGTCTCAGAAGTAACCTATTCCTACTCCATGCAGGGATTTAAAGGTGACAGCTAACATATTGAAGTACAACTGGAAGCCTATGGGGAACAAATGCAGCACTCACAGCAGTGGGACTACGTAGGAGCACTGTGATGTACTCAAAATGGCACAGCCCGCTGTATTGCTGACCAGCTGCAGCTTCTGAATGCTTTTCAAGAGCACTCCTGAGAAAAGTGTGTTGCAATAGCTCAATTGGGAAGTGACTACGGCAGGGGTCTTCAAACTTGGCCCTTTTATGACTTGTGGACTTCAACTCCCAGAGTTGAAGTCCACAAGTCATAAAAGAGCCAAGTTTGAAGACCCCTGCACTAAGGCATGAACGATCCTGGATAATGCTATCCACGAACAGGTATAACTGATGCAATTCAAACTAAAGACACTTCTTGGATAAGAAGTGAAACATTTTCAAAGAAAAAAACCCAGAAAGTTCAAGTGCCTTTTGGAAAAACACTTTTGGGACAATCCTATCTGGGAAAGTACTGCCTCATCCAGAGTTAATGATACAAAATGTCCAGATCCAAAAGTCTTAACAACCCACAGCTATTCAGTCTTATTGGAGTAGAGTTGAAGTCTGTTATTCCCTATCTAGAGCTTCACTGCCTTCAGGTATTGGGAAAGACCTTGCCAGCATTGCTTGGATGACTTGGAGAGAGGTATACAACTGAATATCATCAATATACTGAAGATGCTTCACTTGTATTGATGAGTTCACCCAATGTTAAAAATAGGAATGGAAAGAGACTCAAATCTTTGAAGCACCTTATAAAACACAGCCCCAGGCCTAGATCTCTTACCAACAACTCAGAGGAGGCAAAAAAAAAAAAATCTTCACAAAACTGTACAGGGATCAGGGATACCATGATTGATAGTGTTGAAAGCTGCCAAAAGTTAAAGGAATTCCAAACCGAAGATGCCATCTCCATCACAAGCCTCCAGAGATCAAGTACAAGGAAGATCAATGCCATCTCAGGAGTATAATTGGATCTGAAAAAATATTTAATAATCCATTTCCTGCAGGGCCCTTTTTGAAATCCTCCAGGGCAGTTAGATCTAGTGATTGCATTTTAACAGCAGACAAACCACTGCTTGCCTTAAAGGAGTCAGAACTGTACCTTCTCAAAAGGAAACATTTTCCACCAAGGGAATCCAAGTTCATGTCATCTCTGGATCTAAAACATGGTCTTTGAATTAAAGATTCAAACAATGCCCAGATCAATGGATACAACAGCTGCTCAGTCAATTCTATAATTCTAAGCAAATCCAACAGATACCTAGAAAAGTCCTCAGAGAGAAACTGCAAACGTCCCCGTGGTCCCTCCTTACCCAGGAGTTACTTGCAATAGGATTCCCAGCAACAAGAGCAGAGAAATAAGTTCTCTAAGATAAACTTATTGATTAAATTCTTCCTCCACGCAATGAGGTGAGGGGGAGCTACAGAGAACTCCAAGGCTAACTGGCCACAACTGAGCCCAAAATTTCCACTGCTAAGCATGACGGTTGTTAAGTGAATTTTGCCCCAGTTTGCAACCTTACTTGCCACAGTTGTTAAGTGAATCACTGCAGTTGACCTTGCTTATCAGAAGGTCACAAAGGGTGATCACGTGACCCCCAGAACACTGCAACCATCATAAATACATGCCAGTTGCCAAGGCTTCAAATTTTGATCACGTGACCATGGGGATGCTGCAAATGTCATAAGTGTGAAAAAAGTCATAAGTCACTTTTTTTCAGTGCCGATATAACTTCAAAGGGTCATTAAATGAATGGTTATAAGTCGAGGACTTCCTGTAATGATGTTCTCTTCTAACTCCCAATCACATTCCTACTTCCTCAAGACAAAAAAGAAACTCTAGCATGTGACCTCCCACTATGTATCAGATAATTGATATTTTGACTCATGCCTGTGGAGGCCATCAGCTCCCAGGCTGCCTCCAATTCCCATTCCAGAGGAAGCAGGTTAAAGCCCCCAAACTGTTAGGCATAAATTCAGAGGCATAAATTCAGCCACAACCACCGAGCAGCTTAGGTAGGAAAGAACCCAAGCTGCTTCACTATCATTTCTGCTTAGATCAACCCTAATAAAAGTCAGCTGTTTAATATACCACTGCATTATATTCCTCTGAAGATTGTCGTAAGTTTGTCCGCCTCCTAACAAAGCTAAGTAAATGGAATGGGTATTAGCCAGCCTAAAGCATGACATTTTGCACATTTTATACCCACCCAGAAACAGGATCTCTTGCTTTCACCCTCATAACTTTTCAGTTTAACTTGCCTAGATAAATGCAGCCAACTGTGATGCTCGGGCAAAAGCAACTGATACTATTACAATTTGTTGTTATTTTAACCATTCGGTCATGTCCGACTCTTGGCGATTTTATAGGCAAGTGCTCTCCAGGCTCTCCTGTCAAGGACAGCTTCTTTCAGTTGTTTGATGTTCATCTTTGTATCAGTTTTGGTGTTATCAAGCCAGCCTGTTCTTTGCTTGCCCCTTCTTATTATTCCACCAACCAGGGGTAGGCAACCTTGGCTCTTTTATGACTCGTAGACTTCAACTTCCAGAATTCCTGAGCCAGCCCTGCTGGCTCAGGAATTCTGGGAGTTGAAGTCCACGAGTCATAAAAGAGCCAAGGTTGCCTACCCCCGCTGTTCTTAGCATCATTGACTTCTCCAATTTGAATTTGCACGCAGGACATGGTCAAAGTAAATCAGACATAATCTTATGATTTTGGCTTCTAATGATTTGTCTGGTTTTATATAATTCAGCATCTCTCTATTGGTTGCTCTGGCTGTCCATGGTATATTATTACAATAGAATACAGATTATTATAAAACAGAAAAGGCAAAATCAGTGAAGTGGCAGTTTATTATAATATTAGCTGTCAGTTATTTTCCTCCTGTGTTAAAATCAGTGGTGGGATTCAGCCAGTTTGCATCACTTCAGCAGAACTGGTAGCTAATTTTTTGTTGCCCAGGCCAGAATGGACTTCAGGAAGCGGCATCCACACAGAGAACCGGTTGTTCACATATTTGAATCCCACCATTGGTAAAATGGATATGTCAAGACCAGCAAAAAGCGAATATTAGGGAAATGTTATACATTTTAGGAATCCAGAATAGTCCACTGCAGAGAAACAAGAAGTCCTTTAATAGAACAAGACATGTCCAGGCAGATCTCCTTATTAGTAGGCAAAAAGTGGACAATTTAGCCTTCAAAGCTTCTTTCTTCTCTCTCCAGCATCATTTTGATCAATTCTCATTTAGTCCCATTCTTCTAACCTAGGGATGTCAAACTCAATTTCACTGAGGGCCGCATCAGCACTGCGGTTGCCCTCAGGGGACCGGATGGGTGTGGCCAGGGTGGGTGCAGCCTACTGGGTGGGTGTGGATGGAGTTGGGTGTGGCCTACTGGGTAGGTGTGGCCAGCTCTACATTGTTTGCGTCAAGGGTGCCAGTGAGGGCGTGGGCAGGAGTGGGATAGATCTGAGGGTCTCTGGCAGAAGGGGGTGGGACCGGGGCAAGTGCTAAGACATGGTCCACTGGAGGAGCCTCACTGTTCCTCTCAGGCCATGCGGGGGGGGGGGGGCTTGTGGAGCTAAGACTGAATGCGTTTCAGCATAGATGGCCACCACAAAATTGTACATTGGCTCCCGGCTGGCTTGGGCCAGGGCCAAGGCAGAGGGGGCTGTTCCCTCACTGTTTCCAGGATGGCTTCGCGGGCCACATGAAATCACTTTGCGGGCCGCATCCGGCCCCAGGCCTTGTGTTTGATATGTCTGTTCTAACCCATAACCTCCAGAGAAAAGATCCCATCAACATTCATTCTTATTTTTCTATATATATGACATGCAAACACAAAACTGAATCGGTTTTATGTATGACCCATCTGTTGCCAGAGAAGATGCAGTAAATAACGCATTTACCTTTTTAAACAGCCGAATAACATCCTCACTTATCTGGGAAAGTCTGACAATGACATTATTCATGAAGATATCATTCAACGTGGCATGGTCTCTGCTCTCTCTTCGGGTCTGTGTCAACACTAAATACCAGCAATTCACAGGAGAAAGAAGGTGTTGATCCTTCCTATAAGCAAAGAGGGAGGAAAAGTAGAAAAATATTTTTTTAAAAAAAATCCATCCACACGTGAGGGCATTTTCTTTCATCTCAATAGTCAAGATTTTTAGTGAATACACTCTGCTTTCACAAAGTTTGCCAAAAGAACAAAAAAGTGTCTTAATTCACATTTCCTGTGAATTGTACTTTTTCTGGATGGCTGCCTCAACCCATTACAGATCATTAGCCAATATGATGTTACAATTCATAATTGGAAGAAAAAGTACAGAATAATAATATGAAGTTGGTATTTAGAACTGGACAATAATTGTGCTCTTTCACATGAGCAATCCAATCTTATACATACTTATTTGAAAGCAACTCCCGTATTTTTCCCAAGCACAGCTCATCACAGGGGTGAGTCATAAGTAACTTTTTTTTTGAAGCCACTGTAACTTCAAACAGTCATTAAGCGATCAGTCATTAAGTGAAAACTACCTCTAAGTAGAAGGGTCAGAGGGAAAAAAATTCTGCTGCAAGATTGAATTATGTAACATATACATTTCAAAAACCTCATTTCAGACATAAAGAAGCCTTTATATGGAGAAGAACTACACCACATCATAAATCTGTACATTTTCTCACACAGTACAATATAATAATAGTAATAATGTTTTCAAAATATAAGACACCTAATTTACCATGATACAGCCCGCTGAATAATGAGTTCTTTCTTGTTTTTATGGACCACATATCTACCCCAGTAGCATGCATAGGGCTTTCCTATTTTATCAACACAATTCCTTTTTGAGGAAGTCACGCTGAGAAACGACTGCCACAAATCCTTGAAAATTAATAGCAAGGCATTATTATTGTGACTTATTCTATTATTAGAATAAGTCACAAACAGCACTCTTACTATTTTCTTTCTCTAAATATTGAACAAGACACTTTGAAACTTGCTACAAATCTCTCTCCATTAACATTGCATTTATTGACAAAATAGCCTTAGAATTTGAACACTGGAATCCAAATGTAATACTATGTTCTAAACCAGGTATGGCAAACGATGGCCCTTTTATGAACTGTGGACTTCAACTCCCAGAATTCCTGGCTGGCTCAATTGCTGAATTCTGCAAGTTGAAATCCACAAGTCATAAAGGGGCTGTAGTTCCTCACCTCTGTTCTGAAGTACTAACGATAGCTGATGTTTTATGGAATTGCTTACAGATAAGGGATGGGTTATGAGAAGAAGAGATACAGATAGTCCTCCACTTATGACCACAATTGAGCCCAAAATTTCTGTTGCTAAGTGACGCATTTGTTGAGTTGCCCCATTTTACAACCTTTCTTGTCCCAGTTGTTAAGTGAATCACTGTAGTTGTTAGTCAAACTGTTGTTAAGTGATTCTGGCTTCCCCGTTGACTTTGCTTGTCAGAAGGTCACCAAAGGGGATCACGTGACCGTGGGACACTGCAACTGTCATAAATATGAGTCAATTGCCAAGTGTCTAAATTTTGATCACATGACCAAGGGGAATGCTACAACAGTTGTAAGTATGAAAACTGGTCATAAGTGACTTTTTTCAGTGCCGTTGTAATTTTGAATGAACTATTTAAGTCAAGGACTACCTGTATCTGTCTGTGACCTCAGAGGGGGTCGCTAGGGCTACCTGACTTCTTTATACTTGTGAAAGAAGACTGGAAATTAGTTCTTCATGTAGGTCTTTTTATTTATTTCACCCTTTCCTTTTTTTTTCCTTTTTCTTTGCACTTTTTACTCTCTTTTTACTTCCTTTTTTTCTTTCCAAGTTCAGTTCTTATTAGTTTTTATTGCTATAATTAAAATCATATATAATATGTTTAGGTTCACTCTGGGTCTTGCCACCTTCTACCATAAATCTTTTATGGTTTTTTTCCTGCCAAAAGCATCCGTCAGATAACTGGCTATATAATTAGAGTCCCTTTATTTGTCACTGGCCTCTCAGCATGCAGGGAGAATGTTTCCAAATAATCAGTACAGCACAACTCCCTGAAATCAAACAAACAACCTGCGAGGAGGAAGCACTCTCAGTTAAACTGTAAGTTTATACAGCCATTTACCTGCAACACAAGTATAGCTAGCCGTAGACAAGCCCCTTCATAATCTGCACAGCAATTCAGAGGCTCATGGAGATTTGTGCATGTTTACAACAAAGAAGTTTCACTGTAAAGTATCAAGGAGGCACCTCCAAAAGAAAGAGAGGTAGAAGAAGAGGGGGGGAGGGGCAGAGGGAGTGGGAGGAGGAGAATGTGCATGGAAGAGTGATTGCAAATATAAAAGTATTTCCATAAAACTTTGCAGCTTATCAGAGGTACAAAAGAGTCCTGGCTTTTGTAGTCAAAGAATCATAACCTAAATAAGAACTGTGAGCTAAGGGGAATAAACATGCTACACACAGCACACACACAGAGATGCATTCAAGGATATAAAAATATCTGTACAGAAGTATATGTGTACAAAACTATATGCGTACAAAGTTAAATTTATATACTCAACGTTAAAGCATCAAAAAGGAGATGTACATAGGCACAGTAGCACCATTAAGGTAACATAATCTTTCTTGCATTTTCCCAGATTTGGCCCAAAAATGTCTGCTGCAGTTACTGTTAATTATATATATTTATTTATGTGTGTGTGTGTGTGTGTGTGTGTGTGTGTGTGTGTGTATATTTGTTTTCTGAGGTTTTCGCGGGTGTTTGTATGTAGGTCTTTGGTTATTCGGGTTTTCTCCCGCATAAAATTGGAAGTGTCTTGGCGACATTTTGACGAATGGGACTTCGTCGAAACGTCACCAAGACACTTCCAATTTTACGCGGGAGAAAACCCGAATAACCAAAGACCTACATACATATATATATATATATATATATATATATATATATATATATATATATATATATATATATACACACACACATACACATACACACACACACACACACATATATATACATATACATACACATACATACATATACATATACATATATACATATATATAACTCTCATGTATAATGACCTTAATTCGGACTAGAATTTCTACTGTTAACATCACATGACCCTCACCACTTAAAGATAGCAGTTCCAATAGTTCCAGTTGCAGCAGTTAGGCAAAGATTGCATTATTGTTAGGTGTGGATCTCCTGCTTCTCCTGCCCGCCAACTCCTCCCACCCATCTCCTCCCCATCTCTGCTTTTTTGCCTGCCTTGCACTCCACCACTGCTGTCTAACCCTGCCATGCCCTGCATCTCCCTAGGTGAAGGTGGCAAATGTCAGCACTGTTCAAGGCTACACAATGCCCACACCACTGCGCTCTCTCCTCCACTCGCTCTGCCCTGTTGCCTTCTCTCCAACCAAATCCAACAAGCTCCCTTTGGCAGAGAAGGGTCTGCCCTGCTTTGCTACTTGAGTCCTAGGGTCACGCCTTTACCCAGTGCCTGGATCCTGGGCCAGCAGTGAGGAAGAAGATGGCGGTCAGCAGGGGCAGTAGGAGACAGCAGGGGTAGGTGGCAGTGGAATGCAAGGGAACCAAAAAAGCAGAGATGGGGTGAGATAGGGCAGTAGCTGAAGTGCATGCTGTGTTCATAAATGCAGGCCAGGTGCAAGTGCCAGAATTTTGATCACGTGACCATGGGGGTACTACTATGGCCATAACTTTGAAGACCCCGGGCATAATTTACCATTCGTTCAGTGCTATAACTTCAAACAGTGGCTGTTAAGCGAGGACTACCTGTAAAATTAACCTAACATGTCACCTAATCTAAACCCAGCAGAAACTAACTTTTAATCACTATTTTTTCCTTTACTGCTTTACCTTCCTTTATTTTACCGCTTTATTTTTTTAACTTCAGTAGTGCACCATTTCACAATTTTTGCTGTCTCTGAAGATAAAAGGGTTTCAGCCAAATATTATAACGATGATGCTCTTGCAACACTATTGCTAATAGCAGTTATAGCACAGATTAAATTACTGCAAGGGCAATAACAATTGATCCATAGGAAAAGCATTCCTACTACTGTGTGTAGTAGCCAAGTGTAGGCCTTTACCTAAAATAAAGCACAACAAACAAATCAAAAGTATACAAACACCAGAAATTCTAGATATGCATTACTTTTTTAAAATGTTGTGTTCCCTGTTTTAATTATTGTTCTCCACTATGAATAGAGTTGTGAGATGCAAGCTGAATTACAAACATTAAAAAGGTTTGAAATAGTTTTCTTACTATAGTTGCCACACCACCGAGATACCCAAATAGGATATATCAAGTCTTTAGATTTGATGAAAATTATCACTCCCAAGCTAAATGTTCTTGCTCCAAGTTGATTACACCCTCTATGTTCTACAGGTAGTCCTCGACTTACAATAGTTCATTTAGTGACCAAAGTTACAATAGCACTGAAAAAAGGGACTTGTGGCTGTTTTTCATTTACAACCATTGCAGCATCCCCATCGTCACATGATCAAAATTCAGACACTTGGCAACTGACATGTATTTATGACAGTTTGCAGTGTCTCAGGGTCCTGTGTTCACGTTTTGCAACTTTCTGACAAGCAAAGTCAACGGGGGAGCCAGATTCACTTAACAACCGGGTTACTAACTTAACTGCAGTGATTCACTTAACAATCGTGACAAGAAATGTCATAAAATGGGTCAAAACTCACTTAACAGAAATGTTAGGCTCAATTGTGGTTGTAAGTTGAGGATTACCTGCGTATATTTATGTTGTACTTTTCCTGGAATCATAGTTTTTAAGCTGCTTTATAGAACTTTACCCTCTGGTATTTAGACCACATTTCTTTACCCTACTTATTATTTCTTGCCCAGATAGAATTTGACCCTTCTAGGAAACCTACGTACTGTCATATTTGTAACCAGCAGCCCAAACCTATTTCAAGCTAGATCCAACTGCCACCTATGAGTATTCACAATTTCTGCATGTACAATATTTGGGTCACTGATGATTGAAAACCTCCCAGAATGCTAAA